TGTTAGAGCTAGAACCCCAGCTCAGCTTCTCAGACTCCAAATAGTTTTTAAAGTGCCAAGCCAAGAAAAAATATGGATGCTATTGGATGTAAGGAGAAAAAAATCTCTGGCTTCATCCCTCCCTCTATTAATGAATCAATATGCATGTATTATGTGCCTACTATGTGGCAAACACTGTTGGATATAGGATTTTTTAAAAATCTCTATTCTCAAGGTAGGATGACAGGCTGATTGGCTTTTTTTTTTAAGTGTGCCATTGGAGATGGGAGGTAGGAGACTGTCCTAGGCTACCTAAGTGAGAATTCTGTAGACTCAGAAGATAAGAACTTTCCCAGAACAGAAATGCCACTAGCAGTAACAGCATTCTATTCATATAAAAAAGGACAATTACTGCTCTAGGCCAAGTCTAGCCTAGGGAAAAACACACTTATTCCAAGTAGAATTTTTAAAAGCTGCCACCAAACAAGGACAGGCCAAACACCCTTCGGTCGGGTAAGTTTTGCCAAATGCTCTACAAACAGGAGGAATGAATCACCATTAAATTTTGGGGGGTGCCTACTTTGTTCTCAGTGGTGTGCTAGGCCTATATCCTGAAGCCAAAACAAGTCATTTCAGGAGCCCAGGAGTGAATAATTGCCCTAATATATAAACCAGAAGTATAACAATTAGGTTAGGGGGAGGGAGGGAAGGGGTAGAAGAGAGCCAATCACAGAAGCTTATGGCTTAGACTCAGTCCCCATGGGTGTAGATCTGGATAAGAGTGGCATCTAACATATGGAAACTGGTCCCGGATTAAGGGAATTCCTGGGAGTCTGGGGTCAGTCCTAACTCCAATTCAAGGAATCAGGTCCACACTCACTGAAGGCTAACTAAGAGCTAAACTAATCTGGGCTTCCAAGGACCACATCCAGCTTTGTTAGCTGTCAGTCCAAAACTGCATATTCCAGCCCTGTTATCTTCTAGACAGATATCACCAGTGACTAACGCAATATTTGTGCAGAGAACTTTAAAGACAGAAACTCTGAGATTTCTATGATGCTTTAGATCTGTTCACTGAAACAAACTCAACAAGTAGAATGATAAAGTAATAATAATAATATATAAATATATAGAACTTTTAAGATTTGAAAAGTTCTTAGAATCAATTGCCTCAAACACTCCATTTTTGTTAACATGGTTCTTTACCTAATAACAACCTTTTCATCTTGTCAGGCTTTTAAAATTCAATTTAGGACTTTTGGGGGGAGGGAGGAGGGAGAGAGATTTTGGAACCTTCTTACTGGTTCTAATTCTTTCTTTTGTTGAGATTTTCTTGCTTGTTGGTCAGCAGTGATTCCTAACTAAAAAAGACCAAGAAGGGCTCTTTGAGGTCAGTTGCAAAACTCCTCCCGGACAACCCTTAAGCCCCCTCTAGTTAGAATCTATTTGAAAGTTTTCACTGCTCTCAATAACATCTTGAAAACCTGGTAAATAAATTCTACCAGCACTGTTTTAATTAGTGGGCTGGCAATAACTTTCCCTTAACTTTTGATGGAATACGCAAGAATTGTTTACTTAGGGGATTAAAAAAAAAAATAGATTTCTCCCTCCTCCCAGGAATCAATCTTACCATTAGGAAAGGACCTGAGAATCACAATATTTCACATTAAATGCACATTAACACTAATTTTTACCAACGTCAATATTTATTATATCCCCACACCGCTGCAACAGTTTCCCAAGCATCACTGAACACTTAGTAACGTTTTACAATTGAGACTGAATTGCAGAATACAAGCTAGAAATGCCTCTTAGAAATACAGCCTAGAAATACCTTTTAGTTCAAAAGCAAATTGCTTCTAAAATGTGTATAAACTACACTAAGAGAAAGTAGCAACAAAAACCCATTCCAAGCAAAGGTAAGTAGAAAAGCTTTGCAAATTAAGCCATCTCTTTAAGAACTGGACGAACATTCACAATATATCCAAAAGGTAACAGCTTCTTACTTCTGCAAACGTTTGCTTTTTAACACAGAGGGAGGGGCGAGGTGAGCGGGGAGAGCGAGTATTTTCTAAGTGAGTGGATAACAGTATTCATTAAGGATCAGGGTGCGAGAGGCAGCTCCCAAAACCTAACAATCACCAGCCACAAATGCACAGGAGACAGGCCCACCGTGAGCGAACTAAAATGGAGACTGAATTTCCTCTCAGTCCACAGAGACAGAGAGGGTAGTCGCACCGGGTCAGGGTCAAGGTCACTAGCGGGGCAGTCTGCAGCTGCCCAAATGCTCCACACACAGAAATGTGTGTTGGCTTTCCAGCTCCGTCACAGGAGAAACAGATAAATCCCTTCTCCTCTCCCACCCTCCTTCTAACCCCCCTCAGAAAAGGGGAGTGGGGGAGACCAAATTCTCCCCCCTCCCATCTTTTTATTCTCATACAAGTTAATAAAAGCTTCCAAAGTTAACAAGCAAGGAGGAATTTTGCAAGGAAGACTTCTCAGGGACAAGGATTAAAACTCTCCTCCCTCCCACCTACAGACACCCACACACCCTCCCACCCATTCCTTAAAAACTGTGGTGAACTGGAGAAAGGCAGCCATGTGCAAACACACTTCCCTGCACTCTGGCTGCCGTCGCTGCTGCTGCAAGTTCTCTGCGAGGAATGAGTGCACGCCGACAAAACTCTCTTTCTCTCTCTCCTCTTACCCAGTGCACAGAAATATGCACACGCCGAATTTTCCTATACACACACACACACACACGGCTGCCTGTGGGTTGAGTTTTATGTGCATATATATGACATATGTGATATTATACTCAGAACCTCTAGCGGGCAGACGAAGAAAGGACTGCACAGGGGCAATTTTATTTATTTTTTTTTTCAAGGAAGGGGGGAGAAAAATGCACAACCCGAGCCCTGTGCGCCGACTCCGGCGTACCGGGAAGGAGAAAGAAAGAGAAATATTTGTGGAGCGACTGGGCTGGCGGGCTGGCTGGCTGACTGGCTGCTAGTGCGATTTCTCGCCACTCCGGCTTTGGCCTGGGTGGCCTGGGGTCCGGGAGGGCGGAGCAGAGTAGGGCCGGGCCGGGGGAGGGGGCGCGCCGGGTAGACGGGGCAGCAGCTTTCACCCCACCCCCTTTTCCCCCTTTAGACACCAACACAACTGGTTCGCGAGGGGGTGATCGATCGCACTCCCCGTCTGCAGCGGAAACACACACACACGCACACATACACACACACTCAGCCTGAGCTCGAGACACCATAACCTTAACCCTTCCCCCACCCTCCATGAACTTCAGGTGACCGACCACGTCTCTCTGACACATAGGCACTGGGGCTCGGCCCCGTTCTTCTCCTCCGAGCTCCGGGCTGGGCAGGCTAGGGCAGCGAACCCGCGTTCAGCCCTGAGGGGTTTATGGGGGCAAGGGGGAAGGAGGGCACAAATGACCCTTCCCCTTCCCCCTGAACCCCTCCCTTCGGCTCCTCCCGAGTCCCCTCCTCCCCTCCCTCCCAGTCACCCCGCCCCACGCCTTCTTCCCCTGCCCCCTCCTTCCCTACATTCACGAAGCCCGGCGGCCGCCCCGGGGGGGATATTTTTAGTTGCTTCTCCCTCCTTCACTTTTAGCATCTCCTAGCACTTAAATGCAAAAGCCAAGAAAGATGGGGGGGGGTAAGTTGGGAAGAAGAGAAAGCAGTGGATGGAGGGGTGCGAGTAGGGGGAAGTTAACAGTGTTTCAAAGAAAAGAGGAGGGGGAGGAAGGGCGGGAGGGGGCGCCGGGTGGAGGAGGGGAAGGGGGACCAGGTCGTGTCAGAGAGAGGAGTGTGGCTGCTTTGCCTGCAGGCGCTGGAGATCGTGATGCACTTTAGTCCTGGACTCTGCTCTAGTCTGGGGGTGGGGGGGGAAGCACTAAAAGCCCGACTCTAGGCTGGCTCAGTCTGATCCGACTGACCCTGCATTTTATTGCGGCCAGGATCCCTGCCTCCCTCGGCTCCCCTCCCCTCCTTTCGTCTTCCTTCCACTCGGCTCTGCTCTGCAGGGACCTCGCATGCCACAATCCACTCGGTTCGCCTCCTCTAGTTCCTCAGGCTGCGTCCACCATCCGCCAGTCCCCTACCACCTTCACCCCTGGCACCAGTCAGACCTCTGTGCCCTGCAGCAGCGGCGGCGGCAGTAGCGGCCCCCCCCCCAAACCTAGGCACCCACACCCACCCCTGCCACCTCCACCTCCACCACACACCGCAACAGCGGTGGCAGCAGCCACCCCAGCGGGGTGTGTGTCTATGTGTGCGCGGGGTGCCCCCACACCCTCTTCAGCCGCTCGCCGCCTCGCCCTCCCCCTGACTCCCTTTTTCCTCCTCCTCCTTCTCCTCCTCCTGCTGCCGCCGCCCGCGGCTCCTGGGCCGACCAACCCAGGCGCAACCTTTAGCCGGAGACGGACCTCGCGATTGATTCTGTACCAGACAAGACAGACCGCGCTGCTGCCCCCCCACACTCCCCGAGCCAGGCATTCTCCCCCCCGCCAGCGCCATCCCTGCCCCCTGCCCCCCTCTGCGCTCCGCCTTGCCCCAGCACCCCGCGCCCCTGGGCACCAGGGAGAAACACCAGGAATTTTTTAACGACTCCAACCTTTCCCGCCCCCCAAGAAAGAATAACCCCCCCTCCGGCATCCACAGGGCTCCCCCTTCCTGCTCTTGCCCCCTCCCACCCACTACCCGGAGCCAGGAGGGGCAGAGAGAAGGGAAAGGGGGGGAGGAGAGAACACGATCGCCAGGGGAAAAAAAAAAGAGGGGGGCGAGAGAAAGAAAAAAAGAGAGAGAATAGAAAGGGCACAGGGCTGATCATCACCAACATGGCTGCCTCAGCACAGACCTAAGAGAGGAATAACCCAGGCTGTGTCTTTGTCAGCTTCACCTCTGTAACCCTAAACTAATGCAGAAAACAACGGAGGAGGCTGCAGAGGGGAGAGGTGGGGGGGCCGAGAAAATAGCACGGGAGGCGGTGGGGAAGGGATGACTTACGTGAGGGAAGGCGCTTGGGCTGCTCCTGCTTCCTCCTGGGCATTTTCCCCCTTTTCTCACATTCTCCTCCTTGGGTAATGGGAGATCAAATAAAACCCCCGTGGGGGCACCGAGGCAGACCCGGGCAGCGGCAGGCGAGGCAGGCGGGGAGCCGGGAGAGAGAAGAGCAGGGGGAATCCCTTCTCGCAGCCCTGGGCAGTGGGTTGAAGCTGGTCTCCTGAAGCCAGAAGAGGGGTTTTCTTCTTTTCTTTCTTTTTTTTTTTTTCCTTTCCAACCTCTCCCCCCCTCCTCCTTTTTTTTTTTTTTTGGTCGTGCACCTGGCTTGTCCCCGATCGTATATATTCTTCAATGGATCTGCTTAGTGGTGTCTCTGTGTATGTATGTGTGGGTCCTATGCTTGTGTGTTATGTGTGGGGTAGATAATGAGCCCTGGTGCGGCGGTGTCTATGGCCGCTCTCTGTGTGTCTCCAAGCCCCTAACACTAATGCAGGGATCAAAGGGCAGCAGCGGCAGCAGCCGAGCTCACAGCTCGCTCTCTCGCTCTCTCTCGCTCTCTCTCGCTCGCTCTCTCGCTCTCTCTCTCTCGCTCTCTCTCTGTCTCTCTCTCTTCCCTCTCTCTTCTCTCTCTTCCTCCTCTTCTCTCTCTCTCTCTCTCTCTCTCTCTCTCTCTCTCTCTCTCTCTCTCTCTCTCTCTCTCTCTCTCTCTCTCTCTCTAGCATAGGCTGAGAGGGAGAAAGAGGGCGAAAGCAAGAAGCACACACACACACACACACACTCACACACACTCACTCATGCTCTCGGAGGCAGAGCAAAGAGGAAGGTGCCCCCCAGGCTCCCAGGGCGTACTTAGACACCGATTTGCAAGCGCTGTGCTGAAAAGAACGAGGGGTAAGGGGGTGCTTGCGGGGGTAGGATGTGCTTCTTCTGATTTATCCCGCTATTCACCGATCTGAAAGGAGAAGAAAAAAAGTTTTTTCACCCTTTTATTTAAAACAACGATTAATTCATTCTTACTAGTACAGTATTTTTTTTAATAGAAATTGATTTTTTTTCTCCAACTTAGGTCTATAAAATTACCAGCTGCTTTGCCTCTCCCAATATTTTAGGATCCTGGCATCCCTAAAAAATTCACCATAAAATTCTTGGGGTTACCACCTTTCACCCACCCTAAAAAAACCACAGTAAAAAAATAAAATTAAGGACAAACAAAATAGATGGTGAAATAAATCACTATGTGGCTGGGATAAGTGTCCAGTTTTGAAATCCCCAGTGGAGTTAAAAACTGAAAAATGCTGCCCAAATGGAAATTATAAGTCCTTGACAAAGGGGAAAAATAAGATTAGGTCACCCCTAATGGCTGCTTTAAACTGCTACATGATAGTTCTACAGAGCACACAGCAATCCTGACTTGGGAAATTTACTTTTTTTTCCTGTTCTAATGCAGGTATAGGAAGCTTTGCCCTGAAGCAATTCCAGGGTGCATTATGAACCCAATATAGCAGTTTTCATTAACTGATACATACTTTCATTACTTTACAAATCACACATCTTTCTTCAAAGACAGACATAAAGGGGAAAAAAAGAAAAGAACTGGGTCTCACCAAGGCACAAAAGGCAATTGGTGAAAGAGAAGTATTCTCTTTGTGACTTGCAGTCATTTGGATAAAAGTTCACTCAGAGGTTGTTAATGATTTAAACTCCAAAACCTGGTACTACAATTGAAGTAAAACGGGTTGGAGAAGAGTTGTTTCATAAAACTCCCTTTGTGAGAGAAAACTTTGAACTTAGTAGAATACATAATCTGTCATGAGTCAGATGTGGCTAAAAAAAATAAGGTGCATTATTTAGCTATATATTCTTTTTTTGCTTTTTTTGCTCTGACTCATCATCTCATTATGTTAAATATTTTCCTACCAACTTTGAAAGAGTCACCTCATCAAAGCAGCTACACTCAGTGTGGATGCTGTCATTAAAAAGCTAATCTATAACCATAAAGGGGTACCTAACACCTTTCTGAGATAGCAGTTTAATTCACACAATTACAGTAGTTAATAAGAGCCATGAGATAAAAACCGTACACATCTTTTTAAAAATAGCAATGACTGGATATTGAGTATTTTATTAGAGTCTCTAAGTCCAGAGAACTTCCTAAAAGATGTTTCCCAGTGAGAATGAAATTTCTATATAAATCCTTCTCACTTATAACTTCCCAGTACATGGTGCTCACCAGTGATGAATCCATATTCCTTGATTGTTTCTTGAGTATTCCTGTTTGAACATGCTCCAAAGACACCCCTAAAGGTAGTTGTTGCAAATGAGCGATAGTCATCTGATCAGCCTTAGGTTGGTGTTGATCTAAGTAACTTGACAATTAGGCTTCCTCGCATAATCATTTGATATAGAAAGACAAAAGAATACAAGAATAAGTCAACTAGTTATAACTTTAAGAGTCCTCAGTTCCCCTGGTCTTGAAGTGAATGTACAAATGCTAATCAGAGCACTTCTATTGCTAGTATGTGGACCCATTGCCCCAAGTCAGCAGGTCCTTTCTGCTTAACACATGATAAACAGAACGATGCCAATGGTCTAGCACTAAACCTTTGGAACCCCAGGCTGGAATATTGAGAAGTATACGATCCTATCTAGACACTAAAACCCATATTTGCCCCATTTACTTCCAGTCTTTACAAAGCCCAGCATACCATAGTTGAAGAGATGCTTTCAGTTATTGAAATTAAGGCTCTGAGATGAAATAAAAAATGTAAAATGGCGTAAGGTTCTCCTTTCTTCAATTGGCATGTATTTCCCAGGGCCCTTTTGAACTCCTCCAAGAAAGATACTGTAAATTCTCAATTACCTAGGTGTGGATTGTCAACAGCACCCTGTCTAATTCTAGGCCAATTCTTCAACCATTGACTAATTTATATTCAGAGTATGATAACTAATTTTCATAGTACACGAATCCAAATTATTAAGGCAAATCTGTTGAAAAAAAGTCTGTTGAAAATGACCAGGATGCATCTCAATGCCAAATATGGGATCCTGAGGTATCCTTGCTGTTTTGGAAAGAACAGCTGGATGTAGAATCTTGAAAATTAGTTTTACATTTTGCCTCAAAACAACTGATTGAACTGATAGCTATAAGACCTTAGGCTAACCATCTGACCTCTATGAGCCTCAGTTTGCTTATCTTTAAAACGAGAAGACTAATCCTTACACAGTGTGATGTGTTGGATAGAATGCTGGAATTGGAATCACAGGACTTGTACTCATAACCTAAGTCTGCCACCTGTATGACCTTGGATGAATCACTTAAATTCCTGGGCCTGAGTTGGGCTAGATAACCTCTATGGTCCCTTCTAGCTCTAAATCTATGATCTAACCACCTGTCTCACAATATTGTTGTGGGGAGAATGCTTTATAAATCTTAAAGCCCTAGAATAATAGGAGTTATTCAATCCAATTCAACAATGATTCATTAAATGCCTACCATGTTCAAGGCATTGGGCCAGGCCCTGAGAACACAAAAACAAAAATTAAATAGTCCCTCCCCTTACATACATTCTGTTAATGGGAAACAACATATACACACATACATACATATATACATATATATTTATAAAGCGCCTACTATATGCCAGGCACTGTGCTAAGTGCTGGGGATATGAAGATAGGTTGGAGACTGGGATAAGACCTCTTTTTCCAGGTAGGTTTTAGGTCTTTGCCTCTATCTTCCAGTCCATGGAAAGCCCCTCAGCCTTCTTAGATACCAAGAACCAGTGTCCAAAAAGTGCATTCTATATCCTGTCAGACTAGGGTCCAGAGAACTAGTCATCTTCATTTTTGTGCTACTCCCCCCAACCATAGCCCACCAGCTTTTCCCCCATTTTCCCCAGAGAACTGAACCACAGTGACAGAAGCATGTTCCTCTGGGCAGGCTCATCATGAATCCCTGGGCTCCCTCCATTGACTTACTTCAGGTCTTAAGCGATCATGCTGAACTTAACTTCTGCTAGGGTTATATGCTCTTTAGGGCAGCCTGGTAGTTCAAGAGGGCTAGACTTTGGAATCAGGAAGACTGAAGACCTGAGTCCTAATCCTACCTCAGACACGTACTAGCTGTGTGACTCTTTAATCATTTATTCCTGCTACAGGTAGTGAATGACTTAGAGGGGGGAGCTGTAGGGGATCATGCACTTGGAAGCATCTCCTAAATCTCAATTCTCTTCCTCCTGCTCCTGCTACTCTTTCTTCTTCTTCTTCTTCTTCTTCTTCTTCTTCTTCTTCTTCTTCTTCTTCTTCTTCTTCTTCTTCTTCTTCTTCT